ACCACTATAGTATGTTTTCACCCAGCAGATACTTGAAATACTGTAATAACCCTGATTTTCTCTGTCCTCACTGTCAAAAAGAAGAATGACAAAGGGCTTTACTCATGGCAAACCTTGTGTTAATAATGGTAATGTGCCAGTGTGTATCTAGTTTTGGACCGTATCCTGTGGCTGGTTCCTGACTGTGAACCGGAGCTTTTGCTGGCATTTTCCTGTGTCTGACATTCAATTTGGACCTGTACTGCAGAGGGAAACAGTAGTAAGCTAGTAACGGAGTGCCAGATAGTAAGAGGATGACAAGTCTTTTCCAGTCTTGTGTGAATGCTATTGAATGAGCAGTCAGTGTGCTAGGGGCCAGTGAGCCAACAAATATGTTCAGCGTTCCCAGAAAATAGTCTTCAGAATAGTAGGAGGTGTGATTATGAAGGGGAAGCATTTGAAAGCTATAGATAGTGGAGCTAGGCAGGAGAAGTGAGCTGGCAGGAAGGCATTTTGAAGCAAAATGGGGATCTGTGTATGCCTTTCCCACAGCAGCTCTGCCCATCCAGCCTGTACATCCTGCTAGCGTGGAGCTGATGGGGGCAGGAGACTGCCAGCACATTTCTCTGTGGAAAAAGAGGAATGAAGGTTATAGGGAAGTGTCAAGGGGACACTGGCATGGACACAAAGAAGTCTGAGCAAGGGGCATCTCTGCCAGGACTACAGCTGTAGCAGTGACCAGGACTGACTGTGTATTTCAGCTGCTTTCACCAATTCTCTGCATTCGGCGCAAGTGAGTTCTCTAAAGCTGAATTGTCTGACAATCTCTCCTTTAATACTTAGCTGTATTATTTGCCAATTTTGAAAGTGGTTCAGTAGGGGATAACTAGTGTTCTGAGATCATGATGGGTCTAGTCAGCTTTCCAGAGTACAGCAATTACAGTGTGAATAGAGGTGAATGTGATGGACAGGCCGGGTGGTTGCTCTCTCTAACCTGAGCATGAGTTTTCTCATGTTTGTGCGCACACTTCTTCTCTGTGATTAGCCTCAATGGAAATGCCATCACCAGGGTCCTGCTGCCAGCAGCAACTTAACAGGCAAAATGGAGGGGGTTAGGTGTTCTTCTGTCCTTTTCATTTTTCATTAAATAGGGCAAAATACACAATAAGTGGAGTGTGATTTGCATGGAAATTTATATGCATGTATAATAGATCTGAATGTTAATGTGGGAAATTACTTTCTTTCAACTCAGTGGCCTGTTTGATTTTTAGAATTATTTGCTTCTTTGTAACTTTCTGTAAGTTTCTATTGCAAAACAGTGCATCTAAATTCCTTGAGAAATACTCAAGCACTTGTGGCCAAGTAGATAAGGGTGTTGTTACCTTCTGTTGGGAAATATTTTTTATTAAAATCCATTGGCAACTTTTCGATAAATTCCTCTTTTTTTTCCTGTGTCAATGTATTATTACAAGGATAACAATGAATGCTGTAGTTAAGAAATTCCACACATTTAATAGTCATAATTTAAAACTTTTATTCTATATGCAAATGTCTGTGTGTGTCTGTATGTATAAAAGCAAGTTTTCATTGGATTTTGAATGCAGCTAAGTCTAGGAATGAACTAGCAAATATCCTTTGTTTAAACTTAACAATGATTGCATTTGATATTTTCAGAAGTAATTTTTATAGCAGTTTTCATTATATGGCTGTTGTGTTCTGGGTACAATAGGGCAGCTTACTTGCAACTGAATTAAAATACGTGGTTTAATAGCACTTTGACTTGCCTAGGCAATAAACTATCTCCCACAAATGGAGGTGGTAAGGTAAAACATGTTAAGTTAATTCTGTAACAAATCCCTGTGTTGCTGATGGAAAATATTTCAGAAGAATTACTCCCTGCTATGCATGGAGGCTTCATGAATTACAGGATAATGGAGATAACACTCTCTAAGGGGTCTGCTGAAATATACCCTTTCCTGAAGCACTGTCTGAATTCTTGGAAGCATTTGTGGATCAGAAACTGGTTATGGCCTAACTACACTCTGCTTTAACAAAAGGTGTAATTTTAAACTGACTTTAGGAATTTAGTGAAAAATCCTGTGTGGATACACTTAATTCAGTTAAATCTAGCTAATACAAATTTAATATGCATGTCTAATTTATAGATACAAGCTAAGCTAACAGAGTAAGTTTTTAACTGTTTACATAAATCAGTTTTTAAACAGACAAGGAAAAACTTTCATATAGTACAAGATTGAGAAGATTGGGATTGTTTACCTTGGAGAGAAAATGAATCAGAAGTGAGACGATAAAAGGTTACAGACAACGAAGGTGTAGGCTTTATAGAGCAAGAAATGCTATTTCTACCATCAGGGAAGAACAAGGAGCATTTGGTGAAGGTTAAAAGTGACAAAGTCAAAAGTAAGTCAGAAGAAATGCTCTGCCATACTGGGAACTCATTGCTGATGGAAGTTAAAGTCACTGGATAACTCTGAGGGCAAGAGTTTAACAAGGTAGGCTTAGTAACATGATTTAAGGGTCAATTTGGCAGTGTTAACTGTTGGACTCCATGATCTTAGATGTCTTTTCCAACCTAAATGATTCTATGATTCTATCCAATTGCAATGGTAAGGATTAAAAGAATAAAAAGAATGGTGGAAAAGGTAAATGCCTGTTTGTTTGTAGCAGCTCTGTTATTGATGAGGTAATTTTTCCCCCATATTTAACTGCTTGTGCAATCTCTTGTTTGAAGTATTGTGTCTGGCTAGATCTCCAGCAGCAATTTCTTGTTACCAGAATTGTAACCATTTCCTTCCAAAATCTCATCATGTCTGCTCATTCCCTAAAAACCACAGCAAACTCTTTAGTGGTCTCATTAGGAATTTGAATCACTGCATTTTGGTTTTTCTAAAGAGCAAATGCCACAAATTGGTCTGTAAAGGTGACTGTCTCTCCCATACAGGTGGATAATAACAAATGTCTGGTCACCAGAGTATGACATTGGACAGGTTTGGAAAAATCAGTGCTGCATAATGCTTGGTTCTTGGGAATGGCAGTGTATCATAGGACAAGGTGGTTTGTTTATGGTTGTAGCTCCTAATCAAATGAACTGGGATGACAGAACTTTCCAGAGGACTCCTGGCTAATATCACAGTCTAATGGAAGGGCCTTGGAGAAGCCACAGAGAAGCAATGCAGACACAGCAGGAAAATTAAGATGATCTGTTCTCACCTGCTGCCACACCCTGTTGACTCTAGTCTCTTACACATATCCTGCCACCTCCTGAACACACTTCTTAGAGCCTAAAGGGGACTGTATTTTGCTGAGCAAATGGAAGAGCCTAGAACCAGTCTTTTGAGTTGCTTTTGTGGAAACCATAGGAAAGACTGCAGTGCAGAGTTAAGCCAGCATTTCTGGATTGGTCCCTTTCAGTCGGGTGAGCTGTGTGCTGCATGGATAAGAGATCTGGAGAGTGACATCTTTTTCACACGGATTCCAGTCTTTTTGTTGCTTACTGCTCTGCATCAGATACTGAGAGTATTTCTGCTGCCTCTTGGCTCTCCTTAATCAGCAGCTGCTGCTTTTTATCTTTGGAAGCAGCCTAATCAACTCCCCTGGTAGTTAGCAAGGTTGTTCTGGGACCCAGATGCTACCTGAGTCTTCTGTGTCGCTGGTGCAGACTGAACATCTTGGCAGCCCAAGAATGAGTGTGCTGTGCTATTTCTTTTGTCTCATGTGCTCAGCTAACCCTGCCAGGTTTTTGATCCACACACAAGTTCTCTCACTTTTTGCTATTTATGATAGAATGAGGTCACAAGTTAGGTCTGAGGCCATTTAATCATTCATTTTGTCTCTATCACTTACCCTCATATCCCGCCATTCTTAGTCATGCCTACAGTATCAGTAGACTAATTGTACTATGGTGGAAAGACCTGACATGCAAATCTGCCATTGCTCATTATTGTGGCCTGCTTTGTGTGCCAAGTTTTCTGTCTCTCAAACTATGTACTCCACAGAGTCACAGCTTGGTGACAATGACCCAGTTATACTCAAAGTCTGAGAAGTTCCCTCTATTTTTCTCCCCTCCCTCCTTTTTTTTTCAGTTTCATTTGTATTTTTGTTTGTTATTATTCTATTTTTCTTCGTTAGTGTAAGTGAGGGCTAAGCACTGGACAACTACTTTTGCCTCTTCCTCTCCATTTCTTTTAGTCCCTCTTTGTGGATCTCTGAGAACACAGCTTCAACAGATTCAGCAGACTGGATGGAGAGTTGATGGGTCAGTGGGGGAGGTGAGCTGGTTAAAAGAATTTTTCAAAAATATTTCCTTAGAAGAATTTCAGATTTGATCTTATTTCAGTAACTCAGAGACAGGTTCTCACAGCCATGTATAGATTCATGGCAAACTGAACAGGAGCCTGTTATGTGAAGATATTCCTTGCAGGAAAGTCTGATACCTTTGCCCTGTGGCACTTGGTGTGGAGCCAAGACTTTCAGAACTGTGTTAGTCCCAGCAGTAAATGGTGCTTACCTCTTAGGTCCTCATGAAAAAGCCTAGAGATTTCAAAAGGTCAGATAGCTCTGGAGAGGCAGTAGAACCAAAGGTGTGAAAGCCCTTGTTTCACAGTTCATGGCAGTGTGGCTGCCAGGAGGGTGCTCAGCCCTCCTGGAGCCCTGGCCCTAGGAGGTATGACAGATGCTTGGAGTAAATGACATGTTCCTCAGGCTCATGGCTACTGCTGACATCAGTACCAGTTTCCCTCAGGCTCAGAGAAGTGGTGGGGATCAACTCCCTCCCAAAGCAGAAGCCTGCAGACTGTCCCAGCCATATGGTAGTGGCAGCTTTAAAAATTGTACTCCGTTTGCTAAAATACTGCTTCAATCTAAAGGAAGATGAAAGCAAATAGAAAGTAATTCCTGGTGAACATGAACTGCTGTCTTCTGGCTGGCTCCAAAGGGGATCATGAGAACAGCTTGCCAGCTGCACTGGGGAGCAACTTCTCCCATTAAAGGGATACAGCAATGCATTTCTCTTCCCAGCTGGCATTCGCTGCGGCTCGTGTTTATGGCACTTCCCGATGGAAGCAGAGCTCTCCAGAGGACTCCTGGCTAATAACACAATCTAATGGAAGTGCCCCTGTGGTGAGTGATGCTGAGGATGGAAGCATGAGCCTTACAGTTTGCACTGAAAAGTCAGACCCTGTAAGTAAAAGCTGTAATGATTCATTTCCTTAGTGGATGGACTGTAGAGAGGCATGTGTAACATACAGTTACAGCTAAGACTACAGTAAAACCAATATAAAACAAAACCATGCCAGTAAAAGGAACACTAAAAAAAATGTCAGTGTAGAAATAAAGCAAAGGTGATACATGGCTCATTCTACAACCAGGAAGTGTTTGTCAGTCCTTCTCACAGGAATATCAGGTTGTAATTCTGAGATAAGTAACATTAATACTAAAACAGAGTCTTGTGCCTGTATACAAATACAGGGTTTAGGAGGGTGGTAGTTTTAGAAAAGCTCTTTTCTGATACTTACCTATGGCTCTTTTTGAAATATTGTTTGCACACTAAAATGTACTGCAAGTATAAGTCTATGTCTTGTATTTAGATCTAGTGTTAAAATGACTGTAAAATAACCCATTTAGAATAATATGCAATCGAACTCCATTAATATTGTGTTGTAGTCTAAAATTTCTGCTGTAGTGAAGTTATTTTTATGTAAATAGGGAAGTTTGGATTGTAAAATAAACAATTTCCATTCTGTATTCAGCAACTGAACTATATTTCTTTTTGACACTTTTGTAAAATGCATTACACAGGATTAGTAAAAAAATCACTCACCGGAGTTTTTATATTTAATTTCACATGGCTGTGCTAACTGAAAGAGGCACTACTCTGTTGGAAATACAATATTTTCTTTGTTTGGAGAGAGGGATGTTACCTATGATTTGCTTACTTGTGGTTATTGGTTGTTACTGGGAATGCCAACATTTTGGAGCTGAAATTAATAAAGTTGTGATACATTAAGCAGAAAAAAAAATATGAAAGAGAAAAATGTGTGTTCCTTTGAAAATCCTGTTGTAGGTCATAGTATAGCTATGTGTCATAGCTACTGAAATGTAAAGTAGGTGACTGGAAAGTGCCTAGGTTTCCTGACTTCCTAAGATATTAATAATCATACTTCTAGTGCAAACACTGCATGTCATGGTCTCACCAACTCAGCCTGCTGCTGGCTGATGTTATACTGGTAACATCAAATTTGAGGCCATACCAAATGTTGTTAGGTGCTGTCACAATAAATTTAACCCTCATCCATTAGGGAAATAGTCCAGGTGAAAGGTCACTTTCAGCATCAAAGTGGCCATTTAATGCTTTAATTTCCTCTAATTGGAAATGATAATCAATGAGAATAATTTATAAAGCTTGTTCGGAGTAGTGATTCTCTACTTAAAGTGGCATCTAAGGCACCATAATTGCAATCAGGTTGATGCCATATGATCATAATGGGATTCAGAACTTAATGATGTGTATGGTTAACCTGTTTGCATGTTTATGGTTAACCTGTACTTGGCAAATAGGCTTAAACAGGTTTTTTTCTTTGATAGGAACTTCATTGCATTTGACCTTTTGTCATCCAAGAATTTGCATAAAGTATTCCCTTCTCTGGAATTAGGTGCTTGAGTGAAACATTTCATGGGCCTGCTTAACTATTCATCTGTGCTACAATAGCAATTAATGTCTGTGTAAGTAAACCTTCTGTTTTAAAGGTCATTAATTTTCTATACATGATACAGCTTAGAGATCCTGTTACTAAAATAATTGGGAGATAGTAGAGGTACTGATTTATGAGAGAGGATTAAAAATAATAAAAATCAAAAGATTAGATAAGTGATGACTAGGAAAGGTTGTGATATAAGTCTTCCTCTTGGTGGTTTTGTTTGTATTCTATGTTTGGCTGAAGGCTTTTGGTTTTTGTTTTAAGGGTGTCAGAATAGATGCTCCAGTCACCCTTTCTGTTCTTAAAGTCCATACATCCCACTTGCCTACTTTTTAAAACCTGAGGAGAAATATGGTTTTTCTTTTTGTGGAGAAATATTTTACCCTGAAGACAAACCAACAGGGCCAGTTGTGCTGTAAGAATTGAGGATGTAGAGAACTTTTGGGTTGTGATGCAGCTCCAGCTTGACAGCTCTGCCACTACATTGTTTTTCCGGGTCAGAGTGGACTCTGTGCCAAGCAGTGTTTGTTCCACTGCTTTGCAGTGGTGTCACATCACTGTATTAACAGATCACTCTTTGCTCTGATGGAAGATATTCTTAGTCCTGGCTCTGATTTGCATCAGTTCCAACTCACCTGTATGGGAGTTACTTTGGTTCTACAACTGTAACAAGAGTAGGCTGCATTTCATTAACTTTATGAGGATTATGCTAAGGTGAAAAAAGGTTTGTGTGGCAGAAGCTTTTCTCACTGATGAGGCTGATTCAATAGTAATTCCTCATATGGATCTGTTTTGGACTTGGCTGCTTCTGTTGGCAGCACAATCAGTTCTGTATCATCTGGAAAATGGCCGTGCATCATACATTACCATTATAAGAATACCTATTGCAGTATATTATTTATCTGTAGCAGTGCCCACTCTTTATTGGGGCTTTCCCAAATGTAAGAATATATTTACTCTGAAGTAATCACAACCTAAATAATCACTAACTTACCAAAATTTAGAAATTAACCGTTATTGCCAACTAGATCCATAGAGAATATTTGATGGCATGGCTGAGAGTGCATCAATTAAGAATTGCTGATGAGAATCCAACACAGTAAGTAACAAATTAATGGAAGGGAAAGCAGTGGAGCTTCTTGCAATATTTCAGTGTTACAAAGCTACATTTCTAAATTAGGAGAGTGTGCATTACCAGACTTTCAACCGATCCAAAAATGAATGTTGAGCATTAAACACTATGGGACAGTGTCATCTTTGTGAGGAAATAACATGAAGAACTGTGCAGGAGAAAGCAGTGCTTTCTTAGGCAATTAAAAAATAGGTATCTGTTTGAACCTGTGCAGAAGCTGAAGTGTGAGGATAGCAGAGGGAAACTGGTCAAAAGCAAAGGAGGATAAATGAAGCTGGGCCTTAATGCAAATGGGTGAGGACTTCAATGCCTGGCTTCTATGCCACAGGAGTTAATAACTTTGTATCACATTTTCCTAAAATCTTATCAGCACTCTGATGCATGATAAACAAATTCACAAAGAAAACAGAGCTGAAGAATTCTTTTAAACAATATGCTGCAGTACACAGATTCACTCTTTTTTTTTAACCAAGGAGACTATAAAGTATCACATGAAGCATATCTCCTGTTGTATTTGTTTTAGATTTCTATTAGATATTTCTGTCAATGAGTGTAAGTTCTCTTCCCCTTAAGACCTCTGTTGACTGGCAGAAACCACCTGGTTAGATATTTTTGTGCCTGTTTAATTGATAATCAAGATTGAATCCTGTTGAGAAAATCTGACTTGCCTGTTAGTAAACTCTATTTCCCCATTAAACTCTGAAGTCTAGAGTACAGAGAGAAAAAACACATTCCTGACCTGTAATAAAACTGACAGCCTTTACCTTCTGTTGGTATCTGTAAGTACATCCTCTTTAATCATGGTCTAATTGAGGCTTTGGTATTAGAAAGGAAGAGGAGACTTTAAGAGCCTGAAGGGACAGTTTATCTTAAAATGCCAAGAAAAATTCCAGGGCTTCCTAGCACGCAGAGCAAAATGAGTTATGTTCACCTGTCAGGAAGGGAAATTCAGTGGTTATGGTAGACTTTGCAGTTCAAGTCATGAAACAGGATCCCAGTGATGAGTATGGCTTAGGACTGATGAATGATTTATGAATGACTTTTGCTTTTTAGCTTCTGGAGGAATCTTCTTTTCAAGAGTTTTCTTATGCTCTGCCCACTACTTTTCTGTAAAGGGAAATTTGCAAGTATGACAAAATACCTTGATTATTAGAACTGAAGGTTTAGGGGAAAAAAACAACCCTAAATACTGCAAAAGTAGGAATTTAATCATGAGAGTTAGGAGGAATGTGCCTAAGGCTTTTCTCCCTTCCCCCCCCCCCCCCCCCCC